TTGCTGCCAGCTGCCTGCCTGCCCCACTGCTCCACTCAGCGTGCTCTTCCCGCCCTAGGTTCCTGCCGGCAGTCAGCAATGGGGACGTGGTGGTCCCCGGGACTCGGACTGGCAGCTGGAAGAGGAAGAGCATCCGACGAGGTAGGGGTCTGGAGATGCATCGAAATGACTTTGGGTTCCTTCAGACTCGCGTCCCGTCTCCTGTGCCCGAGGCAGGTATCACTAGAACGGCTCTCTGGCCAGGCACACGTTACACTTCCGTTACCAGGCCCCACAGAGGGGGCTGACCAGCCAATGGGCTGAAATTAGAGAAGGGCCTGATCCCGGCTTTGCCTGAGGATCAGTGCCCGGCCCAGATGTGGCTCTCACAGCTGGCCTCAGTTCTCTCTCCTCGGGGCTAAGCCCCAGAGCCAAAGGCCCACTGCTCCTTAGGAAGTCCAGCCAGAGAACTCAGGCCCCTGGTTTGAGCTCTCCCTAGCGACGCCTCAGAGGGAGGGGCTGGGTTTTGGCATTGGCCATTGTGGCAGAAAAGGCACCAAGAGCAGCACATTGGAGGTTGGCTCTGAACTGTCGGGTGCTCCAGGCAAGACCTGCTGTGAATTGCAGCCCGGTAGCACTTGGGGGCTGTGTCTAGACTGGCAAGTTTTTCCGCAAAATCATTTGATTTTGCGGAAAAACTTGCCAGCTTTCTACACTGGCCGCCTGAATTTCTGGAAAAGCACTGACGATCTCATGTAAGATTGTCAGTGCTTTTCCGCAAATACTATGCTGCTCCCGTTCGGGCAAAAGTCTTTTTCCGAAAGACTTTTGTGCAAAAGGGCCAATGTAGACAGCATAGTGCTGTTTTCTGCAAAAAAGCCCCGATCGCGAAAATGGCGATTGGGGCTTTTTTGCGGAAAAGCGCGTCTAGATTGGCCACTAGATGCGATTTTTCCGAATCTAGACGCGATTTTTCCGAAAATGCTTTTAACAGAAAACTTTTCTGTTAAAAGCATTTTTGGAAAATCATGCCAGTCTAGACGTAGCTGGGATGTTTCTGTGCAGATCCCCAGGGAGAGACCGTTCCTGTCCAAAGAGTTGACAGTCTAAGTAGACAAAGGAGGAGGAGCAGTCCCAGAGGGGAAGTGACTTGGCTACTAGGTCACTGGCTGAGACCAGCATAGGGCCCAGATGTCCTGACTCAGTGCCCTGCCCGCTGGCCCATGCTGCCATTACACCGTCAAAGCCAGGTGTAGCTGAAGATCATGGTTCTCTCCTGGTGTCAGGTTCCTCTCCACAGCTTGCCCTGTGTTGCTTTTCATTCCAGGCGAGCGGTTTCAATTCCCAGACCTGGAGGAAGATGTGATCTATGATGACGTCCCATGTGAAAACCTGAACTCAGATCAGTTCGGTATGGACCCACCAGAATTCTGCCATGAGCACACGTGTCTTTCACTTCCTCCTCTCCCGTACGCTGTCCTCGCCCCTCTTTCTTATTTACTCCCTCCCCTGCCTCCGCCAGCTCTTTCCTTTCTCTCGTAGCCCCTTCCATCCAAGCAGCGTGGAGCCCTTACCTGAGTGGTGGGAGGAACGGAGGTGTGAACTCCATTTTACAAATGGGGATACTGAGGCAACCGTGGTGGCATGACTTGCTGATTCTGTGGCAGAGCTGGGAATAGAAGCCAGGAGTCCTGCCTCCTTAAACCAGATCTACGCTACAGCTGAGGTCGGCAGAACTTACAGTGCCTAGGGGTGTGAATAAACCACCCTCCTGATGCATGTAAGTCAGGGGTCCCCAACGTGGTGCCCGTGGGTGCCATGGTGCCTGCCGGGGCATTTCTGTGCGCCCGCCTAGTGACCAGGGCCAGCCCGAGCCGTTCTTGAGCCCCGGGCGCACCCCGGGTGCGCGGTGTATGGGCGGCCCTGCCCCCGGCGCCCGGCAGCCCCAAAAGGTTGGGGACCACTGTAAGTTACAGCAACATAAGCACTGGTATGGACAGCCCTGCGTCGGCATGAGAGCTTCCTTTGCCAGCTCGCTACTGCCACGCATGGGGCTGGGGTCAGGGCCGTCCCTTGGGGGGGCCTGGGGCAACGCCCCCACCCCAGTGCCCTACATGTGAGACCCAGGACAACCTCTCTGCCACGGGCCTGGTCCCCTCCTTCCCCAAGCCCCGTCCTGCCCCTTCTCCACTCTTTTGCCCACTCCCTCTTGCCACACGAGCCGGAAGATTATGGGACCTGGGGCAGGACGGCAGCCGGGGCCCACCCCCCGCCAGTCACGCCGCGCGGCGGT